TTTTTTCTCCAACGGAATGCTGGCGGCTAAGGTTGGGTTCGGTGTGATGCGAAATATTTATACCCGTCTCTCTTAAATTTAGACTGTTCATCGCGTTTGATCTCAATCATCCGATCACTTTTAAAGAAGAAATGAATTTAAACCGTTCATCGCAATTTGATCTCGACCGTCTGATTGCGTTTAATCGCGACCATCCGATCGCACCTGAGGAAGGAACGAATCCAGACCGTCCACTCGCACGGAGATGCATCTGGACCGTCCGATCGCGAGCACGTGAATTATCAGTGTGGCCCCCCGCGAGGCACCAAGTCAGTATTCCTTGCCACGCGGCGCGTTGGGTTCGTGGGGGTTGCTGACTAGGAGGTCCTACATGGTGCAATTTTTTTTAATTGTATTTTGACCCCCAGTTTCTAATTTTTTTAAAAAAACATCCTCCAAACTTAAATTTTTATTATTTTTTTCTAAAATTAGTTTCAATTTCATAACCTATTTTTTTCCTAATTTCACATTAAATAAAAATTTATTATTTTCAAAATTATATTTTTATACATTTTTAAACTTTTAAAATTAATCTCAAACCAAATTATGGGTCCGGGTATTAGAACTCTTCTCCACCTCTTTAAAAAAAATTTAGTCCCTCAAATTTGTCTCTCTCTGACTCAATCAAACAGTTAGGGATATTGGACTCTGAAGTCTGATTCTAGCTCCCATGTGGCATATCTCTGTGTGTGATTCTGCCATAACACCTCAATGAAGGAAATTTTTCAGTTGCAGAATACTTTACTTTTTTGGTCCACAATGCCCACCGGTATCTCCTCATAGGACATATCTTTCTTGAGTGAAAGGGGCTCGTGGGCTAAGATGTGAGAGAGGTCCGAGTTGTACTTGCGTAGCATGAACACATGAAATACGTTATGGATCCTAGATAGTTCTAGAGATAGTGCCAATCTTTAGGCTGCGGTACCAATTTTGTTTAAGATTTCAAATGGTCTGATAAACGGGAGGATTTGGTTTCCTTCTCTTACCAAACCTACTGATTCCATTAAAATGAGTGACCTTAAGGAACACTAGATCACCTTTTTTAAATTCCAAATTCCTCATCCGGGTGTCTGCATAACTCTTTTGTCTGTTCTAAACTGTCTAGATGTTATTCTTGATATTAACTATTTTTGCTGTACTCTCCTCCACAAGATCTGGGCCGAACAATTTCCTATCACCCACCTCTTCATAACAGATCGGTGATCTACATGAGCGACCATATAACGTCTCGTATGGAGCCATGTCAATACTTGCTTGGTAGATGTTATTGTAGGCGAACTCTATTAAGGATAAATGATCATTCCAATAGCCCCTGAAGTTAAGAACACAAGTTCGGAGTATATCCTCCAGTGTCTGAATCGTCCTTTCTAATTGTCCATCGGTCTGCGGGTGGAATGCGATACTAAGAGACAATTTCGTTATCATGTCTTGCTGAAAACTAGACCAGAACCGAGAAGTGAACCTGGGGTCCCTATCGGATAC